TGCCCCACTTCTCTACAGATCGATATCACTGTTGGCATCTCACTCATGAGAGTAAGCAGGGAAACCCAGACTATTTCTGGATGCTAGCAGGAGTAGCACCCCGCTCCTCATGCAACCCAGTTATGTGCCACTTTGGTTCTTGTCCCACTGACTGAAGAGAGTATCATACCACGGGGAGAGGGAGGGAGAGAGTGGCACTTCTGCCATGGGACCCAAGAGAGGAAAAAAAATAGCTCAGGCAGTTTCCAGAGCATCTGTCTGCAGGATTCTATTGACAGCTCAGTGTGCATCAAACTGCTTGGACAATGTCTAGCCATGCAGGGCTATGCCAGCCCATGGAAACACAGCCACCCTCCTAACCTACCCCTACTGCTGCACTCCCAAAGCAAGAGCCACTTACCCTGCATATCATTCCCTGCTTCCTGCGTCACATCGAACTGCTGCTGACATTGGCCATTCGCCTCAGGACTTGAAAACAGTTCCTAGCTGCCTGCTACACTGTGCAATCCTGCTGTGAGCTCCACAGTCTCATCCAGCTCTACTTCATCTATGATTTCATCCTCCGATTTGAGTCCTCTTTCTGCTGACTCAGTGCCTTCAGAAGAATCCACAGGGTTCTTGGTGGTAGTGGGGGGTCACACTCCTCGATTGTGTGCAGCTCCTTATAAAAACAGCGTTATCTTGGGCACAGAACCAGAATGACTGTTTGCCTTCCTCACCTGTGGTGTGACTGCCTCAGCTGCTTTATCTTTGCTCTGCACTGCAGTGTGCCTTACCTATAACCCTTTTCACACAAGAATTGAAAAATGTGACCCGTAGGCACGGTGGATTGATTTAAATCAGAGTCACCAAAAAAAGATTGATTAAATCAAGTTACCAAAAAACCCCAAGACTGACTGTGCACTTAATTTTGAAATAAGTCCCATTAAATTCACTAGTACTTCTGATTTTTCAGAAAACAAGTACCGTACATTGCCATTATGGTCTGTGACCATGATGTTGCAAAATAAGGAGCATATATTAAAGTCAGGAAATGACACTTAGCGCCAATGGGAAACTCTAGATTCCTCTTACTGCAGCTTTCTGTATTGTATGCTTGAGTGAAAGCTTTTAAACCTAGTTAACTAATTAAATAAGTCATAAGGATTAGCTAAACTATTTTTTTTCTAGCAACATCCAACACAGCAGACAGTTTGGGAATTTGTCAAATCACACCTACACCTAAAAGGCATAGAGAGCCTTGAAGAATGACCCATTGCATAGTGAATTATTTGAGTTACTAACAGTTGATTTACTCAGCCATAGCCACATCATTTTCTCCCAATAAGCAGTTGTCCTTATGTTTCATTTTTGCAACTAAGCCCTGCATCTTCTTTTTGCACTGCTTACACTGACACGTTTTCCTTATTTACCCTGTGAATGAATTTCTTCAAAATATTCCCAGATAGGATCTCTTACATCCAGAAACCATGACAGTTTTTCTGTGTCAAAAGTGTAGGGGAAATGTGGAAAGCTCTATGAATAATGTCTTCCCTTTTTTCATCCCCAGTCCATTCTACAGGTCCTTCTTATACTGCCTCCATTTATTCCTATATATTGTCTCTGTCTTTAAGATAACATCTTAACTAACTCCTCTATTGTGCTTGGCCAAGGTCCACCACAACATAAGCACAAAACAAAACTAAACTAATCTTATCTAGCTGGTCTTTATTTGCACATACTACATTTTGTTCTGCTGAGAAATAGAAGTTGAAACCCCAGGACTTTAATAGTTAGGCTGGACAGATGAGAGCCATTAAATCATTATTCTGAGTCTGTAAGTGTATTTGTAGCATGCTTGTGATTAGATTTAGTTGCAAATAAATTTAGTATTAAATGTATATATTTGCCCATAAAAACTGGAACATTTATGGGCTCTTGCAACTGGGACTGCACGGACCTCATGGAGGTAAATGTTTTTTGTTGCCAAAACTCAAGTGTTTCGTGGTTTCACTCAGAGTGTGAACGCTATCAAATTTGTCTCCAAAAAGAGGATTTTGCCAAAAAAAAAAAAAAAAAAAAAATCTGCCAGCGTAGACATGCCCTAAGTAACCAACAGCTTTTGAAAGTGACAGTGAGTATTCTTCAGACCTTCAGGCACAAAGCCAACAAAACCAATGCTTTCTAAAACCTCTTTGCTCCATTTATGTTAAAAAGGAAATGGTACTGAGAAGTAATGCTCCTCTGTACATGCGCATAAGTGACCTTTCAAGAAAGAAACAAGGATTCGGTTTACTAAAATGTCCTAGACAGAAAAATGTGAGCCAGGAAGGAAACAAAATGGACCAGAATAAGATAAATGCAATGAGAAAAGTAAATTGTGTGCTGTATATTAAAAAGTCTCAGGTCTTCCTTTCAAGCAGCAAGAAATAGCACAACAAAGACTGTAGGAAGCATTGGGCTTTTCCATACGCAAGTTGTACTGCACTAATTATAGCTACAGTAATTCCTCATTTAACACTTCTGAAAATTCCTCATTTAGCATTTCTGAAAATGTTCATGCTCAGCGAAAACGTGCTATGCAGTGTCAATTTTCCCATTAAAAATAATGGAAAAAGCGGGGATTGCGTTTCAGGTGATGGTGGCAAAGTCAACTTTTTCTTGGTGCCGAGTTGTCAACGTCAACATTAGATATCCAGCAACACAAGTTGCCGCAGTTTGTTAAAAAACCAAAGAAACACGTGAGTGAGCAGAGGAGCGCTGTGACCACGTGTATTCATCTGCTCATGCTTATTAACATTGTTTTCACCAACTTATACCGCCGCACGAACTAGCCCGCCACTTGATTATTTTCATGTTGTTTCAGGGATGGTCGTGTTATTTGAAAAATGGTCCCTAAAAAAATCGTGCTATTGTGAAAACATGTTAAGCAGGCACGTGTTAAACAAGTAATTACTGTATATAAATAGGGCTGTTGATTAAGTGCAGTTAACATGAGATTAACTCAATTAATTGCAATTAATCACACCATTAAATAGAATACCAATTTACATTTATTAAGTATGTTGGGTGTTTCTACATTTTCAAATATATTAATTACTATTACAACAAAAAAGTGTACAATGCTCATTATATTATTTTTATTACAAATATTTGCACTGTAAAAGTGGTAAGAAATAGTATTTCAATTCACCTCATATAAGTACCGTAGTGCAATCTTCTATTCTGTTTTACCCACATTCTGCCATACATTTTGTGCTCATGTATCTGTTTTGGCAGTCTTCGATGATGACTCGAACACGTTTGTTTTAAGACTACTTTCACAGCCAACAACAAAACACAAAGATGCCAACGTGAGATTTGTAAAAATGACTACAGCCCTCAACCTAAGGCTTAAGAATCTAAAGTGCTATCTGGCTCAGATTTTGGACAAGGTGTTGAGCATGCTTTCAGAAATTTCAAAAAAGCAACTCTCTGATGCAGAAACTACAGAGCTCAAACCACCAACAAAAGAAATCCACCTTCTGCTGATGGCATCTTACTGATGAAAATTAACATGTATCTGTTTGCTCCGCTTTGTATCATTATTGAGCAGAACCAGTCATCAATCAGCATGGATAAATATCCTCTGGAATGGTGACTAAAGCATGAATGGACATGAAATGTACCTGCTCTTTCAGCCAGTCTAAAATTATTAATTTCCAGGTATTATGTTCTCTTACATTCGGAGATTACTCACCTAATGAGACTGAAGTAAATGGACTGAAAAGTAGCTTCGCCTGTCACTTGCTCTCTCCAGGAAAGGAAAGACTAATCGAGTACACAATATCAAGAAAGATGCTATAAAAGAATGTAAGAAGTGAAAGGGAGTTATGAGCTGACAGAAGGAAAACACAAGACAGACTTGTGTTTTTAAAGGATTACTAGGGGTAGGGATGTAAAATTTCAAATAGTCGATACACTTTGCATCGACTATTCAATTTGTCAATAAGGGTGCTTCTGCCTTTGAAGTGTAGCAAGAACCCCAAGGCTACACTTCAAAGACAAAAGCACTGCACTGAGCACGAGGCCCACTACAAAGACAAAAGCACTGCACTGAGCACGAGGCCAGCGGGGGACTCAAACAATCCCCCGCTGGCCCCATAGCATTTCAAAGAGGCAGCGCCACATGGCTTGAAATGCTGCATGCAGCTTGGGCCAGCTGGGGACGGGCTGCACTCAGCATTTCAAAGAGGCAGCACTGAGTGAAGCCCTGGGTTTGGCCCCAAGCTCCATGCAGCGCTGTGGCTTTGAGGCATCCTCTTTTCTTCCCTCCTCACTCCTCTTGGGCAGGGAGGGTCCAGGGCCACCCTGGCCCCGGCTCTCCCCCACCACCTCCCGGCCACTGGGAGGGCACAGTCCTGGTCCTAACCCCTTGTCCCCTCAGCCAGCCCCAGCTCTTGGGCCCCCCCACCCTGGCAACCAGGGAGGGTGAGGTTGTGCTCAGCTTTTCCTCCAGCTAGGGCCAAGGCTGCACCAGCCCTGGCTCTCCTCCTTCTCCAGCTCTGTCCCCATTCCCCCCACTCCCTGGCAGTCCCAGCTCCATCCCACCCAGCCTCACCAGGCCTGGCTCTCTTCTCCCAGCTGCAGAAGGGTTGGGCCAGGCTGGGGTCTCACCACAGCAAGGTCAGCTCTCTGCCCCCTGGCTGCCAGGGGGTTGGGTCAGGCCCAGCCAGAGGCCTCACAGCAGTGCCCTTTCCTCCCCTTCCACCGTAGGCTTGCGGCTCCCCGGAGCACCGGGAATGGGGGAGGATACAGCTGAGGGTGGACGGAGGGGCTGCAGTCTGCAGAGTGATACATGACATCGCTGCTGTTTGGCATGAAAAGTTTTTGTATATTGCGAGAGATTTTGTTTGTTTAGGCCAGGTCTACAATACACATTTAGATAGTATCATGAGCTTTTGTGGGCACAACCCACTTCTTCAGATGACAAAAATGTCATCTGGGGGTTATGCCTAAAAAACTCATGATACTATCCTACAGATTTTTTTGGATAGCCTTTAAGGTGGTACAAGACCATTGGTTTTTTAAAAGTTTGTTTTAGTTAGAGTAAACACACGCCACTGAGACTACACAGTTAGGTCAATAAAAGACAGCTTATGTTGACCAAATTCTAAGTGTCTAACCTTGCAAGATACTTACTTGATACTACAGAGTTGCTCCTAATGACATAAGTCTACCACTACACTGATCTAATAGCTCCACCTCTATGAGAGATATAGCACTTAGATCATCATAATTAGGGCGACAATGTCTGCAAGGATGTGCATTACTACATCGCCAGGCAGCGAGGTTCACAGCTATGAGTTCTGTGCAGAGAGAACAGCTTGGACTGTGAGCACCATGTAAGTTGTTGCAAACACTTCTAGTGAGGATGCACAACACCAGTAGCACTTCAGTGGCTATAAATCAACCCAACATAGATTGACTTAACTGTCAAGTGTAGACAGAGCTTTACTCTGCCAGTGTGCAATCTCTCTGCACATTAGAAAAATCACTATATTACTAATAATCCCTTTATAAAATTGCCCTGAACATAGAAATACTAGGATAGTAAGAAGGGCCAACATACTGGATCAGACCAAACGTCCACCTAACCCAGTATCCTGCCTTCTGACAGTGGTCCATGCTAGTTGCTCCAGAGGGAGCAAACAGAACAGTTAATCAAATGATCCCTCTCCTGTAATGCATTTGCAGCCTCTGACAAACAGCGGCTAGGGAAACCATTACTACCCATACTGGCATTAATATGTATTGATGGACCTAACCTCCATGAAGTTATCTAGCTCTTTTTTGAATCCCATTAAAGTCCTGATCCAGGGAGGGGAGAGGGGTTCACAAATACACACAGTTTAAGCAAGCAGGTGCTCTCTGTTAGAGCTGACAAGTTTTAAGAGATTAGACTGAAGTAATCAACACAATGATCTCCACACAATGCTTACATAATTCTAATGATTTACAATTATTTTAATGGGAAAGTTTGAAATTGCCAAACATTCTAATCTCTGAATACTTTGGCTGCTTACAAAAAGCTTGATCAAATATAATATTTTGACACTGAACACATACTTGTATGACAAGTGATATAGAAATATTTATTCTGTTACTAAGCACGGCAGAATAAAACTTGTTTATTCAGGATATCAAAAGTAGCTATTCCTAGACTAAGAATCATGAATGTAAATATTACACATTTGTAGAAATACATACAAAAATGGAACCCACATCTTTGAGAGCCAAAACTGAACTCTCTTAAACTGAAGCGTTTAATGCTAATAATTGTTGCTGCAAAACTCAAAAGCAAAGGTATGAACGAGAATTCAGAAACTGTGGATTTCTTGCTATGCATACTATCACACAGTTTTAAAGGACTGAAGCAACTTGCCTATTTTATATTTGTTTCTGCAATGAGCACTGGAAATAATGCAGAACTCTGAAGTTCTTGTCAGAAAGTTGCTGGTTCCTAGCTGAACTGGGAGACTGAAGTAGTAGCCACATTTTGGAAAAAGATACACTTGACATACTAGTCAAGTTATGATGTTAGATAGTGTACTTTTAGTTATTATGTAGCTGCAACAATTTTTACCAGTTACTAATACAGTATGGTCTCCCAGCTCCACTGCCGCTTATCACTTATCGGTCAAATGGTTAGCTGTTAACATGGCTAGTGTCTAGGTACTGTATAAATTTAAAATAAAACAGATTTGCTAGCTTCTTTTCTGCTTATTTACTTGCTAAATGTTGTGTTAATTCTTTTGCTGTCATTAACTACCAACAAAAACAGTTTCAGCACTCTTAATTATAATTTCCTTCTCCAGTGATCGGTCTCTTCTGATGGCATTCTTCTAGTTGATCTGTTTCAGAGGGGTACTCATGTTAGTCTAACTGAAAAACCTTACAAAATAATGAATAGTCTTGCAGCACCTTAGAGTAGGGTTGTTAAATTCAGTTTTTATCAGCTAGTCCGACTAGTTGATGGATTTTCCATTGATTAGTCGATAAGCAGAGGAGCCGCAGTGGGGTTAGCTCCCAGCCCAGGAGCCTCTTGACTCTTAATACATTTAAAAGGCTAAAGTGCAGGAGGAGGGACCCAGTGTGAGCTGGGACAACTGATTCTTAACAGCGAAGTGCAAGAGCCTACCCCTACAAACAAAGAACAGGCAAGAGCTACAGAACAAGGTACTGTCTTCTGGAAAGCAGCGACTCTCAAAATGATGTAAGGGTCATAGTGGACAAGCAACTCAACATGATCTTCCAGTGGCGATGCCATGGAAAAAAGGGCTAGTGTAACCCTTGGAGATATAAATAGTCAAGAAGGGAGGAGGAGTAGGGAGCAGTGTTCCCTCTAATTGTTTCCATCTCAGTGCAAAATACATTTTGTTGTGTGTCCTGGGGCATGTGCAGATGTGTACCACCAATAGAAATGCATGCTGCCGGCTGTGGGCGCTGGGCTAATCAGCTGGGCAGCACTTGAATCTGTCCTGGGAGGCCACTCAAGCACACAAGTATTGCCGGGAACACCGGTAGGTAGGTTGATCATAACAAGGGTCTCTTCTTGGACTCTTACAAGGTATCTACCATGGTCTGTGGGGTCCTGGGGAGGCTTCCACCAAGTATGAAATGCAGTTCTCTGTAGAAGTGGCAGGTCTGCAGTACAGTAACAGATCTACTGTTGCACTCCCCAGCACCTTGTGCTATCTCTTGTTAAATTCCTTTGCTTTCAAGCACCACCACTGCTAATGCGGTCATACCCCTTTCTAGCTACTTTTCTACAAAGTCAACCTGTGGCGGTAAAAATGTGGAATGTCTCTAGTCTGGCAACATCTGTGGTCCAGTAGGACCACAGATGTTGTCAGACCAGAGAGCCCTGGGAGCCTAGTTGCAGAGAACAGAGCCAGAAGCCGGGTGGCCCTGGAACTAACTCTGGAGCTGCAAGCCTGGTGATGGGAGGTAGGAGAGCCCTGCAACTGGGAGGGGGACCTTGTCGGGTCTACTGATGGACCACAGGAGAGCCGAGAGTCTGTCAGAAAAAGGGGCAGAAATTACCTCTCCTGGTGCAGCAAATTCCCTTGTCCAGAACTGGTCAGGGCCCAAAGAGTGCCAGACCAGGGTGGTCCAACCTGTTGTTTGTGACTGTGCTCTTTTAGATCCTCCTGGAGCTCTGATCAGGAGAGAGGCAATATTTCCAAGACAGCCGTCCAACTAACCAGGCAGGAATTGTGTCTAGTGCACGGAGCCTGCCTGCTCAGTTGGACAGTTGCACACAAGGATGAGCTGCTATGTGTGCTTGCCAATGTGGGCAATCAGGAAAAAAAACTACACTTCAGAAACATGCAAAAGGTTCAGAAGAAGCAGCTTCAGCCTCTGTGACCCCAGAGCAGTGCAGTTTAAAGATGTGGCAAGAGTGGTAGTTGTTGCATAGGAGGCGGCACTATGGGACAGCTGCTGCAAAGCTGTTAGGATTAGCATAGATCATGCAGTATCCACACTCATACTGTCGGCATCTGTAGGTAGACCATGACTCTACGGCAGTGGTTCCCAACCTTGTTGATACTGAGGACCAGCAAACCAATTCAAAACTTTTGGCAGACCGGCAATATTTGCTATGCAAATTAATATACAAATAAAACATTACCAGTCCACCAAAAGCCCAGCCCCCAAAGCCAGCGTTAACTCCTAAACACCCCACCCTCCACCACAAGAGTCTCCTGCAACCCCCCCTTTCCACCCACCCCCGATTCCCATCTCCCATCCCAAATGCCTCAGTGCCAGTCCCCTGCCCCTTGGGAACTGCTGCTCTATATCACTCAGGAAGATGGTTTTACATCAGTTTAACAATACACTTTACATGCACATTTTACTGTGATATGACATCCACATCTTCATCAGGATGCACAGACGATGCAAGGCAATTTACATTAGCCTGCCTGTACTGTAGACCAGGTCGTAGT